GCAGCCGGTGCTGCCGAGACGCTCGTCCCGCCGCGGTGCGAGGGCGGCCCCGCGGCCCTGGCGCGAGGGGCGCGCTGTCGCTGCCCGCCCGCCACCGCCGCACGCCCGGTTGCTCGCGAGACTGGCCCGGGTGTGAGGCGGCCTGGGTGAGGTGGGTGGAACGTTGCGTCGTGTGTGGTGCGTTGTGCGTAGTGTAGCGTGTGCGCTGTGTGCGTGCTTTGGTGTGGTCTGTGTGCGTGTGTGTGTGTGCGTGTGTGTGTGTGCGTGTGTGTGTGTTTGTGTGTGTGTGTTTGTGTGTGTGTGTTTGTGTGTGTTTGTGTGTGTGTGTGGTGGGCACAGGGAGTGTGGGGATGGGGGAAGAAAAAAACCCAGAAGCAACCACCTGCTCCCTTCACAGGATCGATTAGGTTGGAAAAGACCTCTGGGGACACCGAGTCCAACCTGTGACCGATCACCACCGTGTCAACTGGACCGTGGCACTGAGTGCCACGTCTGGTCTGCCCTTTAACACCTCTGGGACGGTGACTCCACCACCTCCCTGGGCAGCCCGTTCCAATGTCTAATCACACTTTCAGAGAAGAAATTCTTGCTAATGTCCAATCTGAACCTCTTCTGGTGAAGCTTAAGACTTTGTCCTCTCATCATGTCACTTGTTACCTCAGAGAGGAGCCTGCCCCCACCTGGCTACAACCTGCTGTCAGGAAGTTGTAGAGAGTGAGAAGGTCCCCCCTGAGCCTCCTTTTCTCCAGACTGAGCCCCCCCACTCCCTCAGCTGCTCCTTATAGTACTTGTGCTCCAGACCCTTCACCAGCTCCATTGCCCTTCTCTGGACACCCTCTAGCCCCTCAATGTCTTTCCAGCAGTGAGGGGCCCAGAACCGGATACAGGATTTGAGGTGTGGCCTCACCAGTGCCCAGTACAGGGGACAATCCCTGCCCTGCTCCTGCTGCCACACTATTGCTGATCCAAGCCAGGTGCCATTGGCCTCTTGCCCCCCTGGGCACACCTGAGCTCATGTCCAGCTGCTGTCACCAGCACTCCAGGGCCTTTCCCAATGGGCACTTTCCAGGCACTCTGCCCCAGCCTGGAGCTGCAGGGGGTTGTTGTGACCCAAGAGCAAGACCCGGCAGCTGTTGAACCTGATACCATTGATCTCGGTCTGTTTATCTAGTCCAGATCCCACATTATGGGATATGGGAATGTGAGTCAGCCCTGTTTCCCCTGAAGCAGGTGATAAGTAAGGCACACTCTTATGCTTGTGACTAGACCTGTGTCTGCTCCTGAACTTAACAAGTAGGGTCCAAGCACTCTGTAGTAATTTTAGTTGAAACCATTATTCCCTCTCCTTGATAGCATTGAAGTTCTCCCCCAGGGACATGTGGTGCATTGCCAAACCAGCAGAAGAAAAAGACTCCAGGTTTCAATTGCTTTAAAAAGCAGCATGTTCAGGTCATAAATCTAAAATTGTAAAGCCTCTTGGAACAAGAGCAGAATAATTATTCTGTTCAACAGAAAAATTTGTAATACAAATTCAGATGTTTCAATTAACTCATGCACACTGATATTAAAGTATAAATTCCACATCTCTTCCCAGTCTTACAGTCTCTGTACAAATGGATATTTAAGTACACTACACTTTCTGCTCTCATCTTCTGCTTACACTCATTACCTAATGCAGGTTGTGGTGATGCGTTAAGGCAATCAACACTTGGTGCATGTTCTGGTCATAAAATATGAAGAATAGCGAGGAATCATGAGTCCAAGTGGAATTCCATGCCTACAAAAAAGAGAGTTTCATTCGACATTTAGCTATTATTTGGGTCATTTTAAATGATTGTCTTAGAAAGTGGTTCACATCTGGGAAGAGTTCTGAGACCTGCAGAAGGAAAAGCAGATAAATGGTAAGTCGCTGACCTACCTTTTCTCTGTCAGGTTTTGTAGCTGCTGGAGAGTGTATGAAATGGGATGCAGTGAAAGGCAAAGATAGGAAAAGTGGGGGGCTTAGAAGATCCCTCTTGCCTGGGATGTTCAGGGACCACTGAAGGTGGTGGTCTGTCACACAGCAGATAACCAGGGAGTGAAACAATCACTTATTTTCTGCCTACACCTGTAGTTGCAGGAAGAGAGTATTTCTGGTGACCATATAAAATAAGCTATGTAACAGTGATAGCAGGCACTAGCAGGTAATAGTGACAGAAAGAAATCAGTCAAAAGGATTCATCAGTGGAGGCGATTCTGTAGCAGTTTTTTGGTGATAGAAAGGTTGCTGTCATCCAAAGAAACCAAACAGAGACAACTTGGAAACACGCGAAAGCCCCAGTTTTAGAAGGGCTTTCTTCTCAAATCTAGGTGGCACATTTTGTGATTTTCGCATTTGAAAAAAAACCACAGATCTGTCACAGGACCTGTGGTAACCTTCACTCACAGCCACCAGTGTAGCAGCATCTTGGCATCTTGAAAGATTTTACTATCTTCCCTTCCCCTTCTGCCTACTCATTCCTCTTCTATTGCCATTCCTAAAGGGCACAAAATGCTCCTACAGCTCAAAGCACCTACTTTTGCGGCCTATAGCCCTAAAGGCTTTCTCTTGTGTGTAATCTCCTTTGGTCCTTTTTGTTATCTAGACCCACAATTCTGTTTGTCCTCACATGGCTTTCAGCCTGGGACAGCAGCTTGGAGCTAATAGCAAAGAAAAACATGTCACACTGGAAAACCAAGTGAGATGGGGCACTGAAGAAGACAGGTCAGGCAATGCTCTTCAGGGTCCCAGCATATTTAGTCTGTGTCTGGGGAGCTGAAGCACTGTCTTGGTGATCAACCAGAGCTGTTGCTTTTCATTCCCATTCATCTTTGACTTGCCAAAAAGAATAATATGTCAAATGAGAAGGATATTTGGATACTGTTAAACAGGGGGCTGGGGTTCTGCTTATTTCATTTCCATAGTACATTTATATAGTATATTTACAGATGGAGAATGGAAATGGATAAAAGCTTAGCTATTTCTCCAACCTCCAGCATAATATAGCACACTACCTCATCTCTCAGACCTCCAAGAGATTCTTTGACTAAACTAGGAGACCAGACATGAAATCTTTAGTATTTTTAGGATGATGAAAAAAGCTAGAAACAATAAAACCCCTTAGTCCTATCTGTCTTTATATTTGACAAAGGGACAAGCTAAGAAGCAAATATCCTGGAAATTACCATAAAATTTCCCCTCTTCTCTCTCCAGACTGTATAAATCTGAGGAGTGCATGACCCAGGGTAACTGAGAGGCTGTTGGATGAAGATATTTGCAAGCAGAAGGGTAAAAGAGATGGTACTCTCTGGACATACTGGTTATGGAGTCTTCCTCTGTGATAGAGCCTTATTCAACTATTTAAAAAAATGTAGGATTATTAAAAGTATTTGGTTCTGACACCTCACTGATTGCTTCATGTTACCTTCACCTTGTGCTTTCTTCTACTGCCCACCTAATATTTCTACCTGCTCACCTTCCACTTGCTAAATGTCAAGTCTCTTATTTTTGCCTGTGTCTTGGCTCCAGCTTCTGGCTTTCTGGGATTTCTGGGCTGTATCTTTTTCTTGAAGAGAGAAGGGCAAGGTTAAGTCTGAAAAAAAAAGAGGGTGAGTAGCAAGATCTGTAAAACAGGTGTGCCATAAACTCGCTTCCCTGCAAAACCGGTCAAAACAAAGGGATTTTGTCACTCCTGCTGGTCCTGCAGATTACACATCTAATGGCTTGTTTGCATTCTTTTAATTAATTAATTAATTAATTAAATTAATTAACACATTCATTACTGTGTTCAGGAATAAAAGGGATGGGGCTTCTCAGCCAGGGGATGAGAGAATGGCTGAAAGGCCGGGGAAAAAACCCAGCCAAGCGTGGGCAGCAGCAATCAATGTCATTCACAGCTCCAGGCTGTGCCTGCAGCCAGAGGAAGAGAGAATGCAATATAAGAAATTGAGGAACCTCCAGGGGCAAGAAACAAAGCTGAGAGACAGCTCCTCAGTGGCAGATTTACAATCACATGTTTATTTTTTGATGTCATGTGTAATATGCCCAATGTCATATCTGTGGCCAGTGACCCTGTCCTAGTTAGAACAGCTGGGATCAGTTCATCACTGTATGGGTGTAACCCAAAACTGTGTATTCTACAGCCTTCCATGCCATTTCCCAGAAACTGGTATCAACAGACTATTTACACCTTCTGCCCAGAGCAGCCTGACTCCTCAGGCTACAAACTAGGTGTTAAGAGGCCTGCAAGATAGGAGGATGCCTCCCTCTCCTCACACTCTTTTGTGGAACTCCCCGCCCTGAGGGAAGTACTGAGCATTCCTGCCTGAACTGGAGAAAATATAATCTTGGAGTCTTGGGACCTTTGGAACCACTCGTGGGATCCAGAGGAAGACTGCAGATCACCGCTCTCAACCAGACTGCAGACCACCACTCTCGACTGGACTGCAACCACCACTTTTCAATCAGACTGCAACTGTCACTCTCGACTGGACTGCAATCACCACTCTTGACCAGACTGCACCAGCACTCTCACCAACAGGTTTTCCCCTCTCCTTTTACTTTGGACTCAGGGGGCCCAAAGAACACCACTCTGTTCATGGCCCAGGGTGCTGGGTTATACATTTGGGTTTTGTGGGTTAAAACCAGTTGTTTATCTGTATAATTGTACTTATTGTATTATTTTATTAAATTGTTATTCTGACTTATAATCTCTCCTTTGAGTTGAGTTCATTTCCCTGCTGGTTTACCTTTAAACCAGCGCAGACCCCATTGTCGGTGCTTACCCCATTGTCCCCCCAGTGCAAATGGTTGGCTCTTAGGTGCCAGGACCTTCATGACAACAATTCGAAGGTCATACAAATACTAAATGTTATTTTTCTTCCTGTCTGACTAACATAATAACAAACACCAGCGTATCAAGTGCTTGACTAAATCCCTTTATTGATTTCACTATAGAGATGGGGTACATTAACAACAGCAACAACACATGTTAAGTACAGATAAGCTTAGATGCAAGGAACAATTATAGAAATATTTGCTATGCAGCCTCCTCCTGCTCAGGGTCTGCAAATCATTGATATCAGCCTGCCCCAAAGAAGTTATAATGGATAAGAACTGAAAATAACATAAAACCAGACAATATAATAATAATTACCAACAAATACATCTGAACCTGGGGTGCATCCAGAGGAGGACTCTGTTTTAACTGAAGCTACAGCATTTGGGGAAAAAAAACCCCAAATGAATACAAAATTAATTATTGCCCCAAGACAGAATGAATATATTGTGAGACACTCTTCTGGACAAATAGAACAGAATAATTTTATTCAAGCCAATGAAGGGATGAGACTGAGACCTCTCTACTAAATGAATATAGTTTCTTGCATCTTCAATAGCCCTCTCATACAAATATCACTGAAGGCTGTCAAGGGAAGAAAAATCAAGTCTAAACCTGGGCTTTATAAAAAAGATCAGTGCAACCTTTGACATTCCCTGTTTTGTCCATGAATTTTTGCACTTGCACATAATGCAATCTAAAAGCTTATCTGTATTGCAAAGTATTGCAGAATCAAATCAGATGTAAATTAAATGTAGGTCTCCAAGCAGTCCATCGGGTCATTTTTGTAGTCTAAACAAGACCCAAATCCAACTTTTGATGCAGCAGCTTGAACCCAGGCCTTGCTACACACATTGATATAATTGGATGGTTGCTGGTATTATAGGTTTAAGAAAACTCCAAATAAAGTTAATATATGTCTTGCCCAGATATGGAGAGGTTAGAGGTTTAACAGAGATCTGGGATGACATAACTGAAGAGTGATTGGACTGATGGCACGTCTTCTTTCATACAAGTCTCTTCAGAGAAAATCATGTAAAAGAAAACAAGCATTATGTCCTGTTCTGTTGAACAAGCAGAACCCTCCTGGGCTGAGTTATCTGGAAATAAAAGAGACAAAAGTTACTAGAATTAGAGAATCTCACTGAAGATTAACCTGCTGTGAGGGTCCTATGAGTAAAGAGAGGGTACCTCTGTGCCATGAGAACCATAGAAAGACTTGGGATGCTTTGGGATGGAGGTCTGGTCATGTAGCTATCACAAGGGAGCCACTCAGTGACAACTTCCAGGGAGAGCGACCTGGAAGAGCGATTAAACATGTTTTGTGGCTCTATGTAAGGGCTACATGTGGATGGGAAGGATTTCTCTGAGGATTTCTCTGTCCACTGCCATTCCTAGTCTGAATTGAACAACTGTTATCCTGATTGCCTTCAAATCCCAGACTGAACTTCCTTGTGAGGGGAAGAGGAGGGGCAGGCACTGATCTCTTCTCTGTGAGGATCAGTGACAGGACCTGAGGGAATGGCCTGAAGTTGTATCAGGGGAGGTTTAGGTTGGATATCAGAAAGAGACTCTTTCACCAGAGGGTGGCTGGCCACTGAACAGGCTCCCCAGGGCAGTGGTCACAGCACTAAGGCTGACAGAGCTCAAGGAGTGTTTGGATGATACTCTTGGGCCCATGGTGTGACTCTTGGGGATGGGCCAGGAGGGCCAGGACTTGGACTTGTGGGTCCCTTCCAACTCAGCATCCTCTGTGATTCTCTGAACAACCCAGCATTTGGTTTGGGAGCTTCCTTGCACCTCATCTGATAAATGCAAATGTGTTGTATGAAAATAGGACACGGTTAAAAATGGCTTACCCTGTGTGTCAACAAGACGTCAGCGTCCACCTGAGAGGCTGGGACATTTCACTGCCAAGAGGATGACAGTGATGAACAGAATCACTGCAGTGAAGACCAGAGCGAAAACAACATAACACCAGTGTGAGTTCTCCAAGCAGGTCACTGCCAAAGGGACAAGGGACATGAGTCTCACCACAGGCAGAAAGCAAGTCAACTTTTGTTCTGAGTTATGGGAGGATACAAAATCACTGTACCAGGCCTTCAGCAGGAGTGTGTTACACTGGGTGCTGTAGATCTAACACCTGTATATGTATGTAGGTTTATATGTATACAAACCTGTGTGCATACATAAAATCATGTTTTCAGGGGCAGAAGAGCCCTTTTCCTGGCCATTCCTAATTTTTATCATCATAGCTGTTGAGAAAACACCTAAAAATGTGACCTCTTACCTTCTGTGGCAGAGCACAGATTTGCCAACCCTGTCATGTCAACATTTTGCCATGTGCACACAGCACAGCCAGTGCTTCCCACTCTGAAATATACCCTGCCTTTTCCTTGGAAAATGCCTTGCAATGGTTGTGTTATTTTCCTGAGGTTACAAAACTGAAGACCCACAGGGAAATCTTGTAGTTCACATTCAGGCTTTAAAAAGGTGTTATAAGTAATTTGAAATTCTAGAGACTCTTTCCAGATTATCATAATTTTTAAGCACAACAAAGAAACACTTGTTTCTATGGTCTTTAAATCCCTGTCTCCATCATTTTCTGCTCCAACTGTAATCCTGACTAGGATCTTTGTGTTCATTAGATCCCCATTCCTTCATACTTTCCATGTAAACCACCCCCTAATCTAATGGAGAATTAGAACATACATCTGACTTCAGTGGTTTTAAAGAGGTTGTAGTGAAGAATGTGAAGGGACAGAGCTTTTCTATAAAAATTTTCCATATTTATAGCATATATTGATATTCCTTGAACAAAATTCTGAAAACCTGGACAGTGTAGACAGAATCAGAGGGAGGAAGTGAGGACTGAGGGCTATAAAAAGGCAGCTAAAAACCAGATGGGTCGATGGCCATATATCAAAACTGTATTAGTGACCACACTTTTCATGCTGCAGTCCCATCCTGCATTCACTGGGATAAAATCATTATTAATGAAATGCATTTCAATGAAAGCAGTGAATTGGTTTTGCCTTTGTAACAGCCAGATTGAGATCTCCACTTGTCCTACTCTCTCATCTGCCCAACCACCACTTTTAATCAGAAAAACCATCTGAAGCTTTCAGTTTCTTTTCCTTGTTGTAAGGCCAAATTAAAACCCCAGTGGAAATACCTGTTCCCACTAGCATTTGCCGCAGCTACCGCTTTTCTCTATAAATATCTTAAATGCTCTTATTACCTTGCATGAATGGAATATTTTCTTTCATTCTCTACTTCATTTTCACCTCACACACAAGAGCTAAAACTCATATCCAAGACATGATTTCACTTTGCAGAACAAAATTTACTTACACAGTTTGAGAAAATTTAATATATCTTAAAATTTTAACTTAAGAAGTGATAGACACATTTTTTCTGACACTTGTCAAAACACTGTCCAGAATTTTTGCTTCCTGGCTATCACTTTGAAAAGTAACTCAGTTTTGTTTTAAATACAGAACGGTTTGGGTTGGAAGGGACCATAAAGATCATCTCATTTCAACTCCCTGCCATGGGCAGGGACACCTTCCACTAGCCCAGGTTGCTCCAAGCCCCATCCAACCTGGACTGGAACACTTCCAGGGATGGGGCAGCCACAGTTTCTCTGGGCAACCTGTGCTAGGGTGTCACCACCCTCACAGAGAAGAATTTCTTCCTAATATCAACATCTCTTTGGGCACTTAGCCCTAAGCAACTCCTCCACTGTGTGTAATACAAAGAGATATACAAAGAGGATAAAATGCAATGAGAAAAGGTGAAGTGTCCTGCGGTGTTGCAGTACCTGAATGTGTAATTTTGGATGTGCTGTCAGGTCTGTCAGATCTCCATTCCACCTTCACCTCAGCATATGTGATTGGATCACCTGCAGGAACAAAAAGTGTTGCAATTAGAACCTGCCCAAGGCCAGCCCTTGCCATGCTCATTGCACTCAATCCCCTGCAGCATCAGACCCTCTCTGGGAAAGTGAGAAGAGCAACAACATGCAAGAGACGTTGCTTTATTACTTTTTTTTTCTGTCACTGAGTAAATGTGCTAAAAAGAAATTACTAGGAGACTTCATGCATATAATTGCCTTACTGTGCAGTTTTTCAAAATAAATTAAAATAAGGCAATATTATTCAGTCATTAAATCTATGAAAATTTTAAAAAACCCTTCTAGGTGACCATAGGTTGTCACACAGTGATCTACTCTAATAATAATTCTATTTTTTCTTCTTTTACACACATATATACATTCTGTCAACCTCTAAGCAGAAGTTAATCAATGACAACTTCTTTTCAGTGAATTAATTTTTTCTCCTGTTTATTTCTCAATAAACTTTTTCCTACTGAATTCAGATCTTGTACATGGTTACAAAATATGCTTTTTGTCTTGTTTCCTCTTTCACAAAGAAGAGCACAATTCCTGTTGGAACAAAGCATGTGCATAGAGCAAAGACAGGCTATTTTCCCATCCCTAATGAATGAAACATAATTTTAAAATGTATGTAAAATATAAACATACTGTTTTCATTTCATCCACGGATTTTTCTTCCTCAATTTTATCCTTCCATGTGTTTAAATGAGATTTTTATTAATGGCTGGTCATCACATGATCTTCCTCCAGTCACTGCTTTCCATGCATGGAGCCTGAGGCAGGCACTTCAGAACTTTCTACAGTCTTACATCAGGCTTTCAAATGTGACAGGACAGAGATCTTCCCATTCCCTTTCTGGTGGTCAATGAGTAGAAAACCCTCCTATGCCCCAGTAACCACTGGAATGGTTGTGACACTCCTGGTTGCACCCAGTAAAAAAAGTGCTTCACTGTGTATTACAAGATTTTTACAACCAACAGCACAAAAAATCTTGTCAGGGTGGGTTTCCTCAAAAGTCTGAAAATGCCTGGCAAATTACTTTCTCTGCCTTCCTCGCCTCAGTAGTGGAGAATTCTCGTCTGCTGGACTATCAAAAGAGCTCAATCACCAGATTAGCTAACAATAAGGTGCAAGGTGGGCTGGAAGAGGAATTGGCAGCAGGGTTTTCAGCAGCAAGCCATTCATTTTCCCAAGAAGGCATGTAGCTTGCTAAAACTGCTTTGCTTTAACCATAAGAACTAAGATTTCCTGTCTCATAGGAGCTTTCCCTATCTTTGGAGGCCTTGCCCACACTTGTCTGTTCTTACGTGTGGATGCTTACACTGCAGAACAGCGGAGATCTCTCTCACTATCCCTGCAAAAACAACCCATTCTTTGGCTTTCAGTGGCCAGTGCTGCATGGAAAGCCCAAGGAAGGCAAAGATGATGTTTAGGTACCTGACTTCTATTATTTAGTTGAGTTGCATCACCTAGATAGTGTTTTCAAACTCACATAGTTAAAGGTGTGTCCAGAAGGTATCTCACTGCCCAGGGGATGTCTACAGGACCATTGGCCCAATTCAGCAATTTTGTGCAGTCAGGAAAGCTTGTGGGAAGAGGTAACACTAGAAAGATAACTGCAGGTGTAATGAGATGAGGAACTGCCCTGTGACACAGTTTATCCTCCATTGGGTGATATTAAATTCAAGGATGAACTATCAGAGTAGGTGAGCGACAGGACATGTTTCACAGCAGTTTTCGGTAGGTGTGGCAGCAGAAGGAAGGAAGAAGCTATATTTTTACATCAACTGCAACACAACACCTTGGAGGTTGCCTGCTTTGCATGTTTTGCCTCATTTCCCAGGAGCTTCTTCCATCAAATTTGATTGCTGAAAGTGTATGAAATAAGTTGTTGTTTGTTTTTTTTTTTCAATCTTAAGAGAGAAACCAAACAGATTTTTCTCTGAAGTGCCATGGGGAAGACGAGCAAATGCAAATTTCAGCAGTGCAAAATGTAGGACATGTCCAGGCCTGCAGGTTAAAAGCTCTGTCCTCCTCTTGTAAAAAGTCAAGGAAGCAGAAGCTGAAGGCAGAGGAAAAGCAGGTTGCAAGCTAACTAGTGGACAAGTGTAGTGGCTGTGGGGAAGCAAAGCAAACTTAGAGCAACAAAATCAGGTAAGGCAGCACAAACATTGAAGTGTGTAACAAGAAAATGCTCACAGGTAGGGCAGTATGAACACCCCTTTTTTTATGGCCTACGTTATAATTTTTGTCTCAAAGGAGCAAATTTAGCCTTGCTGTATCAATGACTTAATGTCAAATATGTATGGATTAAGACCGCAAGGTCTCTTGAGTGTTTTCAGGCAGGTGGGTGATAGGTAACATCCCTGCTCTGAACTCTCTGTAATGGCAAACACCAAGCTTTGGCCCGAAGAAAAGCAACGTCCTAAGGGTGCCAGGGCTGCTGAGATCTACCTCAGACTTACAAAAAATGTGGAATCTAACCCATTCTTTTAGAACTTTCTAAAAAAATCTTTCTCGTGCAGCTGCCAAGGAGTCAGAACAGTTTAACAGAGTTTGGCAGAAGATGAGAGTTTAGTTTCCTGCACTCGGGCTCTCAAGTATGAAAGCAATGGAACACACAGAAATCGAAGAGAGAGGTTGTAAGAATGGAAATTTTTATAAACATAAGAATGTGAAAAAATATTAATTATAAAGATAGGTGAGGTTTTTTCACTATATCTCAGTAGCACACACCGATGCTGTTAATAGATGTCATATTCCAGATCAATTTAGAGTATTTCTTCATGCAAGATACTACAAACAGCCTGTGGAAGTCAGTGTTTTAGGATAATATTAAAATAAAGCATTTATTAGGACACCAAAAGGGATGCAAGATTAGGAGAAGTGACAAGAATTGGTGATATTTTACTATTGCAATTGAAAAGATTTTTTTCAAAATACCATGCTGTCCTACTCTAAAGCATAAGAAAAATATTTTGCATGAAATTTGGTTACTTATTCAGCCTTATAATTGTCCACAAAAAATTTTTAGATACTGAATTTCCAAGCATCTCATACTGGTAAAATATATGTCTTAAAAACATGAATTATTTCCTGCTTTTATCCATCATGAGTGGCTATATTTTGCACTTTATTACTTGAAAATAAAATTTTTGAGTAATCAGTTTTACAGTTCAAGGTATCAGTAGGTCATACACAAATTGGAGGGCTAACAGTTTTCAAAATTACAGAGACTTCTATTAAAATTTGACTTGCATTTTTCTCGCCATAGAACTTTTAGAAATGAAAAAGGGGGACAGAGACAGATAAAGAAAGAAAAAGAGAGAGAGAGAGAGAAAGAAGAAAGAAAGAGAAGAAAAACTAGAAACAGAACTATCATTTTAGAATTTAAAAATATTTCTGGTGTCAAAGAAAGAAATCAAATTAAGACATAAAATAGAAGTGTACTGCAGGAGGAAGAAGTCCATTCAGCTGTCAATGAGTTTCCAATAATCCGTGTAAATATCTTCCATGTCTGAACATTAACTTTTTTCAGAAACAGAACATTTCAGCCATACTACTGAAATCCAGAATGAGATTTTAAAGGTCAGTCTTCACTTTTGCTAGAATTCAGTATTTATTCTATTAATAAACATGAATTTGCCAAGCAAAGAGATATATAATAAACAGGGGAGGTTATTAACAGTTATCAAAATGCTTTCAACATGACTTCTGAATGATCTAAGAAAGAATGAAACGTGGCATCGAGCAGAGGGAAATGAAGCAACATTAAATTATGAATGGTATTAATATTATTAACATTATTGCATTTTTTTACCTGTATCTGAAGTTTCTGAAGTGAAATGTACTCTTTCCTTGGGTGGTACCTCAGCATAAACCACCTCACCTGCCATTTTGAAAAGCTGCTTTCAGACCTGCAATCAAAATGGACTCACTGAAAAAGTACCATCCCCTATTTTTGGCTGCTCTCCATGAGGTCAAAACAACTGTTTAGATGTCTGTAAAACGGAAGGAAACCAAACCCCTTTTTTTTCAAATGTAAATTCTCACCTTGTAGCTTTTGGTAAGCAGTTCTTCATTCTTACTCCCTTCTGATGGTGTATGTTCTATTAAAGCTGTGATTTTGATCAACTTTCTCATAAAATGGGACCTTCAGCCCACATCTAATTTTTGTTTGGAACTCAAGCTGGCAACATGCTGAGTGTGTTCATATCCTCCTCAAACCAACTGGACACTAAAATGTGTTTCAACTCAGATCGTGATGATTAGATTGTTCAGTTTGTGATTAGATTGTTCAGTTTGTGATTATCAGATCACTTCCTCCTAAACTTCAGTAGTTCAGGAAACAATGATGTAGGGAGGTTTTTATTGCTGAAAAAACGAATTGCAAGAGTTTGGAAAAAAATTTTTTTCTGCATTTAAATTTTCTTTAAATTTATTTCATGAAGAATAAAATTAATTTTAAAAATCAGGTTTGAAAATGTTGCTATAAGGCCAACTTTCTTTTTTTTTCCTTTGGATTTTCATCCTCATAGAAATTTCTATTTTTTTTTGAGTTTATGGTAACTTAAAATTATAGCAAAACTTTGAATTCTTCTCCCAGGGGAATTTCTGCTCTTCAATCAGCTCTACACCACATGCTAGTCCTCATATCCCAGTGGCATTATTAAACTCAGAATTAAACCAGGGCTGAGTCTGATCTATTATTCCTCTTCATGTTGGTCATCAAATTTTCTCATTAAAGACAGACAACACAGTTCTTTGGAATTATCATGATGGTAAGTCAAGAAATGCAATATTTTGACCTCTTGGGACCAGCCATAGAAGAAGTATGAATGAAAGAAAGAAGAATGACTTCAGCATTTTCAGCTTAAATGACTGAACTGTGTTGAGAATGGGCTTTCACAACACTGGTAACTGAAAAGTTCTGTATTAATCATAGAGTAATAGAATCATTTGGGTTGGAAGGGACCTTAAAGATCATCTCATTCCAACCCGCTACCATGGGCAGGGACACCTTCCACTAGCCCAGGTCGCTCTAAGCCCCATCCAACCTGGCCTTCAACACTTCCAGGGATGGGGTGCCACAGCTTCTCTGGGCAACCTGTGCCAGGGCCTCACTACCCTCACAGGGAAGAATTTCTTCCCTACATCTAACCTGAATTTCCCCTCTTTCAGTCTGAAGCCAAACAGGTTTTTTGATTATTACATGTACATTTATTATTCTTTACATTTACTTTTTTAGTAGCTCTGGCCCATCATGAATGACCTAGTTCATGTTCATTGATTCAGGAGTCTTCCTCTTGAGAGAGGAGGTTTCTGGCAAGACAGACAAGCACCATCAGGTTGATCTTCATTATTTCATGCACTTGACAGAACTGATGGAGCGGTCACATACAAAGCTCTTTCCTTGGAGCCAGGTCCTGTCCTTCAGCAGCAGCCTGGGACACTGCAGGAACGGAGGACACATCTTGCTCCTGCTGCCTCCTTCAGCTGGTCCCTCAGGAGACATTCAGGGACCATTCCTCTGACCTTTCAGGAGAACGTGCTAGGATCATGGAGGTAGCTATTTCTCTTTACTAATTGGAAAGTAGATGTTGATGGACAGCTTAGATTTCGGCACCTAAAGGGCAGAATATCTCAGGGTTGAAGAATTTCTGTTCAAAGGAACATGGAATTATAGAGCGGTTTGGGTTGGAAGAGACCTTAAAGATCACCTAATTCCAACCCCCTTCCAGCTGCAAAATCCATCCCCTTCTAATTCCAACATCCCACCCTTCCCTTAGCAGGTAAGTGGTAATTCAGTTGAAAAAGACATTTGTTGCTTGGCTTTGCAGCCAAGATGTTCTGAGGAAGATTCTTTAGCAAAATAATATGAGGAAGGGATTTGTATTGGTACTTAAACACTAAACGGTGTCCTCGGTGCCAGCAATGCAAAGCTAGGCTAAATTTATTTATTGTAGCATCCAAGGTTTTTGAAGACACCTGGGTAAAGGAGGAAAGAGGCTCTGGAGACACAGAAGCCAGTGATGTTTGATCATTTTTTCCATCCTGTGTATTAATTAGCCCAGAACTGGCAAATTATTTTGTTAGTGGATTTGAGGAGAGCATGTAAAGATGGGTATTTTAAGGGTTTGGAAGAAGTTTATTTTTCCCTCCTACAGCAATCCTTTGCGTTTTAATTACATGAAATAGTCACTAGATGTCTCTACTGCACCATACTGTACATTGTTTATAAAGAGTATGAGCGGCGTAAAGTAACTTGTTAGAGACAAGTGGAGTGTGAAGGAGAAAGAAGCCTGGAAGACAAAGGTAGATAAAGGAAGATACCAGGTTTTGATGGCAGGGAGGCTTCTGGGGTGGTTTCTGTGAGAAGCTGCTGGAGGTTTCCTCCGAGTCCAAGACAGCCAATTCCATACAGCTCCAGGACGGATCTGCCGCTGGCCAAGGCTGAGCCCATCAGGAGTGACCCTGTGCAAGGGATGGACTCACGCTGCAAAAGTTCATGGAGAACTTTCTCCCGTGGGAGTAGCCCCACAGGGAGCAGGGGAAGGACTTTTTTCCCTAAGCAGCGGCAGGAACAACCTGTGATGAACTGACCGAGGGATCTCTTCCTGCCCTTGTTTCAACCCATGAACCTTTTGTTATATTTTTCTCTCCTCTGCCCAGTGGCAGAGGGGAGTGATGGAGCAGCTTTGGTTGGTGCCTGGCATCCAGCCATGGTCACCCCACTACAAATTCCTAGTTAAAGGAAATCCCTTGGCTTAGGCTAAAAAATCCAGCATTTCCCTTCCCTGAAATAGAAAATAGCATGCTGTTATTCCTGCACTGGGGCAGAGTAGAAAGGGGACAATCTATGGAAAACCTTTTGGCTTTTTCATGGTTTTGAACTCTTCCCTGTGGAGAATAGATTCATATCATTTATGTCCAAAAGAAGCACATAACTTGTGCTTGTATTTATGTATATAAATCTCCATGGATATAGGTCACACTATCACTTTGAGTTTCAACTGCTGAGCATGAACTGATGAGCTGACTAGAGCTGAACAAGCAGAACAGCAGCCACTGAGAATGGCATTAAAATAGTATTTTCCTTTTTCTCTTTTCCTTTTAAGGAATCTCTATAAGGTGGCAAGTGGAAACTTAGTATTCCTGAGCAATAAGTCCTGTATTTTCAGGAGGGTGGAGGCGCTGCCATCTGATAATTCACCACCATTTCCTTATATTTTTTCATAGAAGGGGAATAGGAAACTACTTTTATTATTGCTTCTGACCAATACATCTCTTAGGAATGCATTCAAAAGTACTGAATGCTGTACATCCAGGTAATTCTTTTGATAGCAATCAGAGGCAAGAGAAGTGTTGACGCCTATACTTCCCTCTAGTGTCTTACCAGCTCCTGTTCACTCTTTGTAAGGGCAGCGACAGCCCAGGTGTGGAAAGTATGTTTTGAGGGGATTCACAGTCGGCTTGGGAGATCAGAGACACAATACTGCAGCGGGGGGCTTCTCGGCACGGCATGGCTGTTCCTCGGTGCTGCGGTGGCGGGAAGCGGCGGGAGGTTCTTTCGGGGTCTGCGTTGCTCCTGGTGGGTTTCTCCTTGGCGTGGAGGCTTCACACAGTGGCTATCGGCATGCGTGGGTCGGCAGGAGGTGGCTGCGGGGCTCCCACGGTCCGCTGGGCGGTATGGGGGTTCCGGCGCTGCGGCGGGGGTCGCGGTGTGGCGGCGCGGTGTTAAGGCGGCGCTGGTCTCTGTTCGGCGGTCCCGGCGGCACGCAGCATGAGCCCCCGGCGGCTTGAGGGCGCAGGGAGGCGGCGGCGGACCACACGCGTGGCTCAGCCGTTTGCACCCGCCTTTTGTAAACGCTGGCTTTTGCCGAGGTTGCTAGGCAACGAGGCGCTAGGTCCGGTCCCGCAGCGGCGGCAGCCGCCCAGTGGCCGTGCGCGGGCGGGGGCATTGACAGCGCTTTCTGCTGGCTGGAAAGGTGCCGCCGATGCCGTGGCTTCCCGGGGTCTGGCAGTGGGGCCGGGGATGTTAGAGGGCGGCAGCGGAGCTTGATTTCACGCAGCTGCTGGTGGCCGCGGCGGGCGGCACGGGTTTTCCCGGCGGCTTTAGTGTGCTCCACCGCCCGGGTTTCTGAGCTGCGGACACGGTGCCGCTCAGGGATTAGCCCTGGCTGGGTGCTGGATGTTGGCGCTGCCTCTCAGCCTGACTCGGTGGATGCTAGACCCTGCTCCGCTCTCTCTGGCTGTCCGCTGTTCCAATCTCTCGGCTTCTTTTCTTCTTTCTTCTTGTTCCTGTGCACTATCCCTAATATTTTTTGAGCTCAGTATTTTAATTCCCGTTTCTCATGCGCTACTGAGACAACGGATTTACAGGCGTCTCGGTTTTTTTCAGTGAAAAGCCCCCGCCTTCAGATAATTAAGACGATACTCGGGGCTTACCGATCTTTTGCCTGATCCAGGATATTTTAATCTATCCTAATATAGGTTTCATGTCCCCGTCCGATGCGCCACGTGTAGGAACCACGTGTCGTTATACCTTTATATAATAAAGAAGGATGCACGCTCTTTGTGAGGTGGATAACAAAGAGATTTATTTCAAATTCGGCGCTTGCTTTTTATCCCCTAAAACCACGTGACCTTCTAACCAATAGGGTTATCCATTTAGACGCATACTCCTTTGGGCTTCTCTGCCCCAGCACGTCCCCCGTGCCTTGGACACGCCTCCTACACAATACTATTTTTTTCTGTAGTTACCAGGAGAAAACTTTAGGCAAGATTTCCTGTGACAACCTTATTTCAAATATTTGAAGGTCTTCCTAAGTCTGAGCAAATCCATCTACAATGTATGTCATAAATGGTGCTAATAACAACCATGTGGTG